GGGGGGGTAATTTACTCTGGCGTACGAAGGGATTTTTGATGTTTATGATGTGGCACATAGAACGTACCAACTTTTGAACCATTGTTCATAGTGAGCATGAGATGACTCTAGTGAGCAAAACGGTGCGAAATGCATCTGGCATTCCAGGCACTCGAATATCTAGAGCTATTGATTGATTGAATGCTCTGCCCGTCCCTCAAGCAAGTAGGATCAAGAAGTTTGATGTAATACGCCGCAGTACATGGTCTTAGAGGAGGTATGCGTCAATTTAACGAGCCTCAGGTGGCAAACTTTAGGTGGATGATATTGCAGTGATCGATGCTATGGTTGCTCTCGTCCTGTGATAGCTTTCAGTCTCAAACCTGAAATGAGCCCCCTGGATTGCGCAGCGATAAAAGGCCTTGACCTCGACCCAGAGATGATGCCTAACCTAACGATATCTTGCTGTGACGTGAAACGTGAACACAGTCTTTAGTGCTATATGGACTTGGATAAAACCAACTGGATCTCTGGAACTGGACCTTCGCTTCACATCTGCCCGGTACAGCGGTTCAAGCAGAATATTGACCTCACTTTCCGCAATCGATCGCTTGAAATGCTGAATCAGAAGTTTGAACTCATCGCCTACAAACAGCTGTTTAAATCTTGCGACAACTATAGACGTCTGAATGAGCCACAGGTGGTTTGCAAACTATCTAATCACATTCTCTTCTTCTTACGCTGGTCCTCTCCATGAAAGCCAAAGAAAGTCAAACAAAGATAGAACACATAAAAAAGTGGAAAGTTAAAAAAGAAAGATACGATGAATTACTATTCAATTTTTCTGCCATTTCCGTTCATCATTTAGTCACAGCGCGTTTTACAAGTGCGATGAGGCTGGAATAATGATCAGCCTGACCAAAACCGACGTCTTCCTGCATAAACGCCTCTCATTGTGTACGTCACTTTAGTGAAGAAGTCTAAACATGCCGTGTTAGCATTCACGAGTGATGGTAGACCAATCGATTAAGCTAACTTTGTATAGTATAAGATCTGAGTCAGCCTATGAGGATGAATCAAGAACTGAGCAGTGGTACGAAAGGTGTCCTCCTCCAAGTATTTTTACGCATTTACCCCTTATGGCCAAAAGTACCTCACCTTAACCAAAAATGTGATCCACAATGCAAACTGCTGAAACACATGACTAGTTCAATGAGGTTCGACAATTTTTAGAACACGATCATTCGAGAAGTCATGGCTCTTGAGACGTTCCTTATCCAACTCCAGAGGGGATAACGAAAATTGTTAATACGTTGGGTTAGATGCCATATAACAGACTCTCAAGGCAGACAGTCTATACTCATCACACAGCAAGCAGCCAATAGACATCTGAGAAAAATAGGGTAAGTTGGAATGAACAGTTGGAATCGTTCGTGTTTGAATCCAGCGCCTGGACTTTACTTTATTGGTGAGGGATTCGAAGTACTGAAAGAATCTCCCAAAGTTTCTAGTCCAGAAACTCGAAGGAAATAGCGTGTTGTGAGAAAGGATGGATAAGCAAAGTTCGCTAGTCAATGTCCCATGTCTAAAAGCAGAAGGTTACTTTGATTCAATATTTAAGGTATGAATAAACCGTGACAGATGGTCACGCTTCTGTTGCAGTCAGGGCTTTCATGACCAGTCAAGGACTTGATGAACGGTAAAAGACATCGGCTAAGGTAACCATTTATTTATTGAGTATCAATTTTTTATACTGTAAACCACTCACCAGCACAGAAAACCGAGACTGGCGTATAGTCGGTTACTTCTATTGAAACTGCTATACCGCTGACCACCGTAGCGACTGACAGTACAACCGTTCTACTGCGTTGTGGCTACTGTAGCATCGCAGTGTCTATGGTGACCGTGCCTCGTTCCCTTCTGTCCTTTTCTCATCTTTACTGTTTGTCATCTATCTCTTGTAGAGAAAAGAACACAGATACGGTAGACAACTTTGCTCTGGGAGACCTTAACTAGTGATTTTTCATCATTCAGCTGGCTAACCTTGAATGAAAGGCATAACACTGAAAAACAATTTTTCTTTTCTGATCGCTCAAAATTTTTTTCCTGAAAAATTGACTTCATTGGTGATTCCATTCAAGCTGTAAATATTCATTTACTTAGTGATTTATTAATTCATTCAGTTTTTTTGTAGCAGATGGTAATGTCCTCTGTGAATGATACTGTATATTTCGCTGCTATACAGGAATGAAAATACCACACTGATTATTGCATCTTGTAACGTTGTTAAGATAGGAGATTGTTAAAATTCGTGATGGTCATGAAAGCCATTTAAATCAACCGGCCACACATGCATGAATTCAAGCAGTTGCCCATTCGTTCTTTATTCATTCTTTTTTTCATACATTCATTTATTTACTCATTGGTTCATTCACGTATTATTTTTTCATTGATTTGTTCATCGACCCATTCATTCACTCATTCGTTCATTCGTTATTTAAGCCGTTTTTAATTCATCTGAGACTTTTGCTAGCATCGAAACACACAGAGTTGGAGTAAATATCCGAAAATGAATGGAACAATTCTCGACAATGAAGCTTGAACGGATTTGTCTTAGTTGTGATTTTAATATTCTTCAACGCATTTGTACCACTCGTTTAAATTTTTAATGATAGGGGAAGGACTTTAGCTTTCAGGATCCCGTGCATCATGTAAAGTCCAACTCTATAACTGATGTTAATGCAGCATTGAGAATCTTTCAATGCCTGAAGATCACCCAGTCTTCATTGGTTAGCTAGCGTCCGACGTAAAAATGTATGGCCAGTGCCCTAAAGAAATCATAATGGAAATTTTTGAACAGAAGATGACGGCTTAGGACAAGACGAACGGAAGGTTCTGACAATTCTTGGTGAACGATAACAGGAAACAGAAGGAATGACTGTCTATGAACGCTTGAGCATCACATCACTGTAACTCTATCTAGTCTCGTTTGAACGGAAGATGACAAATATGATTCTTATTGTCGGAAAGCAGGAGAAAAATAATTCCACCATATGACCGAACAATGACAGTTACAAAAAGCTTGATGTTCGATGGACGTTATACCAAAGCCAAAGTTTTGCTATAATATTTTAAACACATCTTGGCAAACGCATCACGCGTTTTAAAGTACGAATAAATGTTCTGCAATAAGAACATCGTGTTTGTCCTGATTTTGATTTTTCCCTTTGGCACTAGACTTTTAGTGAAAGCTGTATTTTTCTTTAGAGGTCAAAATTGCGGCTCTATTTAAATTCGACCTCCTTCGCGCCCTGCAGAAGCGCCCGGCCGGCATTGATCCAAGGGG